TCAATACTATCTAGGTTTCTCATATCCATTTTGTATTTGCATGCATATCCGCTTATATATCTGCATGTACATCCGTAACCGTATCCGATTTTAGCGGATATGGTTATGAATTTTCCTTACAGAGGTATATCCATATATGTATCCATATTCGAGATGGTTAAGAGGATATGGATATAGTAAGCATCATATTCGAGCTGTATCCGGACCGAATACACCCCTATTCACAGAACATCGAATCATAAATCTTTTCAATATACTAAAAAAACAACACATGACTATTTGTCATGTGTTTTTTCTCAATGTGATAAATGGGATTGCCAATTCTGTATTAATACGAGTCGCCATGCGAGCACCTTTGATCGTGGAATTATCAAAGGTGGGTTGAGAAGAAAATAATAAGAACACAAGAACAATTCAATGGTGGCGAAGGAAAATACCTTCTCTAGATTCTGAGAATTAAACAGTTTACAATCTCTCACAATCTCACTAGAATTGAAGAACAATCTCTCTCAATTCTCAAATACAATCTAATCTCCATTGATTGCTTTTCTCTCTCCTTGTTTTAAAACCCTAAAACGATCCCTTATATAGGTGTAACAACGTGGATGACAAAGTGGTAAATAACCAAGCCCAAACCCTACAGGAATTCGTGCAAACAGAAACCCAAACGAACCAGGAAACCATTGATGAGTCGACTCATGTCTATATATAAGTCGACTCATGGCACATGGGTCGACTCATGAAATGATGAGTCGACTGGTCAGAAACTTTTGACAAAACAACTGGGTTTCGTGAGTCGACTCATGACAGGCATGAGTTGACTCAACCTGATGAGTCGACTCATGTACATCGACTCATGACAGGCATGAGTTGACTCAACCTGATGAGTCGACTCATGTACATGTATGAGTCGACTCACGGGCTGAAAACTGGATGCTTCGTCGACTCATGTACATGTATGAGTCGACTCACGGGCTGAAAACTGGATGCTTCGATTCTTCGATTCGCCGTATCGTTCCACGCTTCAACCTACTTTCCATTGTGTTATTTACATCTCTATTCTCAAGTTACCATGAGAATCATCTATCCTCAAGCTCACATGAGGATCGCTAAGTTCTGAAGAGGAGATACACCCGTATCATGGCTCCCCCCTTTAGGAACTTAAAGTCTCGTTCAAGTTAGAACTTCAGCTGAGGAAACTTGTGAGCTCCTCCTTCCCTGTTGAACCACTTAGCCTTGCTAAGAACCTGACCTTGAAGTCCAATGAGAAACGACTCCTTCGTCCCCCGCCTCGTCATGGTTGTCTTTCGCTCCAAAATGTAATCTTCCTTCAGCGGCTCTTCTCTATCAAACCATAAGTCTTTAACATGCAGAAAGATCACCTTGTCGTCACCTTCATCATCCAGTAATGGAGGCTCAAACAACTTCAAATACTCAGCATTGATCACCGAATACATGTCTAAGTAAGGTGGCAAATCCAGCCTAAAGGCATTGTCACCAATCTGATCGAGAATCCAAAACGGACCATATCGTATAGGTTTCAACTTCTTCCCTTCTCCTTTTAGCCTCTCCTTACTTAATTTCAGCCATATCATGTCGCTTATGCCAAAGTTACAAGGAACCTGATGCTGATCATGCTTTGCCTTGTACTTAACTTGTGATTTCTTCAATTGAGCTTCAACCGTGGCATGAATATGTGCAATCTTCTCCAGAAATCGCTGAGCATGTTGTCTCTCGCTCCCTTCCTTGTCGTCGACCATAGATTCACTAGAAAACACGAGATCAAATGGACTCGGAGGTAAAAACCCATAACAAGTCTCAAACGATGACTTTCTCGAAGATCCATGAATAGCCCGATTAAATACAAACTGAAGATATGGTAAACTCTCATCCTAAGTCTTAGGATGCTTGGAATTGTATCCTCTCAACATATGTATCGTAGTCCGATTAACTACATCTGTTTATCCGTCGGTTTGTGGATGAAAGGCCGTGCTCTTCTTCAACCTAGTGTCCATCAAGCTCCACAAAGAATCCTAAAAGTGTCCGAGAAACCGGCTATCTCGATCTGAAATAATCAAATTCGGCAACCCAAAGTACTTCCACACATGCTCAAAGAACAATTGCGTCGCACCTGCTCCCGTCACGGTCTTCTTACAAGGAATCAAGATGACCATCTTGTTGAACCGGTCCACCACAACGAACAAATAATCATTCACGCGCTTAGTCGTTGGTAATCCTCCTAAGAAATCCATAGAAATACTCTCCCACAGTCTTGACGGTACCGACAATGGTAGATACAATCCCCTTTTCCTATTAGAAGGCTTCGATATACAATATAGCTTACACCCTCCAACATACTTAGTGACATCCTCTAACATCTTCGGCCAAAAGACATGGCGCCATAGATTGAGAAACATCTTTTGAATCCCAAAATGACCTTGCACACGTGATGTATGAGCTTCTCGAATCCACTGCAATCGGTCGCCATCCTTCGGCATGCATAACAACATCCCACGATACAACAAATCATCTGCACCAATCTTATACTCCCTCTTTCGACCAGCCTTCGCCTGCTCGAACACACTACTGAAATCTCGGCTAGATGTGTACATCTGTACATACTCCAAAGGAACCAATGGCTGAATGCACGTCACCACCAAGAGAGCTCTCACGGGTGGGCGAGATAACATATCGGCTAACTTGTTTGTCGTTTCCTTCTTGTACCTAATGATGATATTGAACGCCATCAAATAGGACATCTACTTCATGTGCCGTGCCTGCTGTAGCTTCGTCTGGGCATGTAAAAATTCCAATGGCTTATGATCTGAGTGCACAACCACCTCCTTTCCTAACAAGTACCCCCGCCAATGCTTGATTGCTTGATAAAGTGCATAAAACTCCTTGTCGTAGATGGGGTAGTTCTGAATAGCACCCGTAAACATTTCTGAATGGTACTCCACCGGCTTTCCATCCTGAATCAACACAGCGCCCATAGCATAACTAGAAGCGTTGGTCTCTACCTCGAAGGTCCTCTGTAAATTCGGCAATGCCTATATCGGTGCCTCCGAGATCTTCCTCTTTAATAACTAAAAAGCTTCCTCATGCGTCCTCCCCTACTCAAACCGAACCTTCGCCTTCATAAGGCTATGTAAAGGTGCCGCATAAGTCGAAAAATATCGAATAAACTTGCGCAAATACTGGCAAGCCCCCATGAAGCTTCTCACCTCCGTCACTGTCCTAGGTGTCGGCCACTTCGTGATCACCGCCACCTTGCCTGGATCTATCCTCCGCTGGCCTTTCCCTATGATGAACCCGAGATACACCAACTCGTCCTTCCCGAATTCGTACTTTTTTCCGTTAAGCTTCAGTTGTCTATTCTGCAGCATTTTAAACATCTTCTCGATATGAACAAGATACTCCTCCCAGGTCCTGCTGTACACCAAGATATTATCGAGGTAAACTATCACAAAATCCTCTATAAGGAGTCACAACAAATCGTTCATAAGCCTCATAAAGGTAGCCGGAGCGTTGCACAATCCAAACGACATTACCAACCACTTGAACAGGCCATGCTTGGTCTTGAACGCAGTCTTCCAAGTGTCATCCTCCCGAATCCTCACCTGATGGTAACCAGACTTCAAATCCAGCTTCGTGAAAAACCTCGCTCCTTCCAACTAGTCTATAAGATCATCAATCCGAGGTAATGGGTATCGATTCTTGATGGTTATCTTGTTGAGCACCCGGTAATCCACGCACCTGCACCAGCCTCCATCCTTTTTGGGCATCAACAACACTGGTGACCCGCAAGGGGAACAACTCGGCATAATCACTCCTATCTTCAAAAGCCCTTGAACCTGCCTCTTGATCTCCTCAGACTCCTCTACAGATGTGCGATATAGACTTATATTCGGCAAAGAACCCTTGCTGGTCAACATAATCTCATGCTCCACACCCTGTCGTGGTGGTAGTCCCGTGATCTCTGAAAACAAGTCCACGTACTTGGCCTTCAACCTGTCAAGATCTCCCTCCTGAAACTTGCTCAAGGTAGTCAAGCACACCCTACTCAGCTGCTCCTCATAAGGCCTAATGACTAACAATATAAACCTCTTGCTCGCATTCACTAGCCTCTTCGCCTGAGTCACTGTCACCAAACTCGTCTCCTGTGGAAGAGATGTCGAACGAAAGATGAATTGCTCGCCATCTTTGGTGAACATATACTTCTGGGCTCGCCTATTGTAGACCGCAAACCTATCCCATAAATAAGGATTGTCCAGTATTACTTGGCAAACATCCAACGGAACAACGTCGCATGTGACCTCGTCAATATACGACTCGTGGAGTGCAAATCTGAAGTGCATTAGTTGACCATACTCAATCCCGCCTCCTTCTGAATCCACCCTAAAGGATAGGGTTTCGGATGTTTAACCGTCTTCAATCCCAGCTTCTGAACCAAGGCCTCAGATATCAAATTCTTCTGACTCCCTGGATCCGCATCAACCAAGCTGGTCTTGAACTACAATTTCAAAACAAAGAGCTGCTTCCTCGGGTCTTCGTCCTCCATCGTGGTCTGCTTCTCCACCATAAAGTTGAGACTGCTATTGGGTGCTGTCATCTCGGGAACTTTCTTCGGACCCTGAGCAGGGAATTGACAGGAAATACAATGATGTAATTTATGATTTTTAGATTTGATATATGAGTTTATACAGGGAATTGACAGAAAAAGGAAAAGAAACATGTGCATATTTTTTGCTTTTTACTCGGGACTATCAGTCCTAAGTAAAAGCAGAGACTATCCGAGGAAAAAATGAAATGCACAGGACTAGCCGTCCCGTGCATTTCAATTACTGGCCGACCTATTAGTCACTTGCATTTCAATTACCGTTAGTCCCGTGTAACTCGTAAAACATTGTTGCTGCAAAACCGGTCCTTTTCCGCAGAAAAGGATCCGTTTTGTAGTTTAATTTCTAATCAGGTGCTATATAAAATTGAAAAATGGCTCATTTTAAAAATTTGTCTTCCTTCCTTCAATCCCTAGCTCCTGAAAAACCTAATTTTGATCAAGTGAACGAAAGATGGCTGCCGCTAATCTTCCCCTTTTATTATTATTATTATTGCTGCTCTCTGATTTCTCCTCTTCAGTGCTCGGCGATCAGCTGAGCGCCAAGGACTGCGAGAATCTAGGGTTTACAGGTCTCGCTCTCTGCTCCGATTGCAAGTCCTTTTCTGAGTACGTCAAGGATCAAGGTAAATCAAT